AAATACTGGCATATGTTATGACAATGCTTTTTTTCTTGAAGAATGTTTAGGGGTACTCTCATTTTGACTCAAGAAAATCACCATTTTATACTGCAAAACGGGGGAAATAAATACAGTAAATGGACAACAGTACAAAGATTCACAAAATGTTTAGGGGTATGCGTACACCTGCGTCCCGTCCCCCCCATCTTTCTTGATCTGACCACATGTCTTTGGAGCAGTATTCCGAATAGATTCGGTAGACACTTGCAATCAGCACACATACTGAGAAAATAAGTGCTGCTTCCTTAAATAGATCTTGGTGCATACATATTTTATTGCTCAAGTCTCTAAACATAGAAAACTGGTTGTTATATAGTTTGATTTCTGAATACAAATAAAAGATTAAGTATGGTTCCGCCCACATTTGTGTGTGTGTGTGTGTGTAGATGTGTACATAAGCTTGCCTTTTGTAGCATTTTAAAAGATTCTTATGGAGTGAGGGTTAAGCTGGGGCAAAGCAATTTGGCACGCTTGCCTTGGATTTTAACAGGGAAAGCAAAGCAGACCTGAGCTGACCTTAACAAAACTGAGGCGGAGATGCAACTTGTGGCTTGCTGAAAGCAAGCAAAAATTATTTAACAAACAGTTATCTTGTGTGAAATCATTAAGTCCTGTGATTACTGCATTTACAGACCGCCAGCCACATGCCTTTTATGAATACGGCGTGATCAAAAATCAAGCAAAAAACAGGATCCCTAGAGCTACGGACGCTGTACCAGCCCACTGGAATTCTGATTATTGCCTTTGCCTCCTTAAAGCACCTGACCTCAATGTATTCTCATAAATTGCTTTTGCTCTCAGGTTTCCAAAGCAGTTTGCCATGCAGCATGGATCTCTCAGCTCAAAAAAGAAGCAGAGATGAGGGACGACTTTCTTCCCTATACCTAATTGGGAGTGTACTCTTAGTAACACTACATAGGGTTGTTCCTGGTAGGTGCCCTGCAACTATGAAATTTTCCTTCCTCTGAAAGGATTGCCCAAGTCTGAATATTATCCAGAAGCAGCACGAAATATGTATATTCTTGTTTCACAATTTGGGAACTAGCAGAAGACTTATTCTGAATGTCTTCACCAACTCAGTGTCCTCCAGATTTTTGAATTGTAGTCCAAAACACCAGGAGTGCAAAGGCTGGGTTTATTAATCAGGCTTAATCCAGAGAAAAAAACTCTGCTACCACAATGGGGATCGTCTGTTTCTTCCCTCCCCACTGAGTCTCTTGTGCCTCCCATCACCACCCACCCAAGTTGACTCTCCCAAACAATGTTGGGAATATGGTGCAGGTGGCAGCAACAAGGGGGCACAAACAGATGTGCTACCCACATAAGGGACCCTCTGGGTCGCAGCCTCTCTTTCCGCCGCAGTTCCAGGTTTAGCAACTGCAATACCAATAGCACTTGCTTTCTGGATATAAGGAGCAGAAAAGAGTAAGGGGAGGGGGGGAGGCACTCAGAAAATGGTTACAAGACAATCTAATTTGGAGATAATGAACCAAAGTGCATGTACTCACTCAGGCACAAGCCAGGAGATGCGAGTGACAAGCTATTATTTGTCTAAATGCAATTCCAATGCAAAAGATCATCAGCTTCTAAAGATTTTTCCCCACCCCACCCCTCTCTCTCTTAACTAATCAACATATAACTATATATTGGTGATAGATCACTATGAAAGGATTCTGGAAAAACAACACATTACAACAACAACAAAAGTCGGGGGGGGGGGAGGATGCTATGAATCAGTCAAAGAAAATGTACTCAGGATGAAGTACAGCTTTAAGAAGAGATAGTTTTCCCAAGCAGTGGGCGGGGGACAACAACAGCAACAACAACAACAACAACAACAACAACAACAACAACAACAACAACAACAACAACAACAGGAAACCAGATACAATATTTGTAATGCTCTATTTATATACAAGTTACAGGTTAAACAGGTATCACGGGGTTGCTAATTCAAGCCCACCTAGGATGTGCCAGATTAAGGCAGCAGTCCCATGGCAAGATCTGCTGGGATGAACAGTTTAGGATGCCATCGGGCCTCTGGTTCAGCCAGCTGGTTCCTGGCTCTGCTAAATCCTCAATCCCAGCTCAGTTGAAGAAATGCCAGAGTAACTTGCTCATCCTGGGGCTCCACCAGCTGAGCTAAAGCTGGTTGAAGCGAGTCCAGTGTAAATCCTCCCCAAAGGGTTATTTCAGCAGCATGGTGGGTGCTGAATCCGAAGCCCATTCTGCTCAGTCATGTGACCTGGCCTCTTGTTTTTTTTCCTGCCAGGCTTAGGTAAAGCAGCAGCAGCAGCAGCAGCCTCACCACTGAAAGAGGTTTGGATCTGGTGTGACTTTACTCCCAATTAACTTACACCAGCTTGCTTCATGCCAGCTTCTTGTGAAAAGGGTTGCTCCCTTACTGTGGTATATTTTTATATCTTTGGCTATTTTGATCTGCTGCATACCACCTTAAGTGTCTCACACTGAGCCAGGAAGGAACATATAGAAATGTTTTAATAAAATAAACAGAAAGGAAGAAATTCAAAATCCAATTTCAAAGCTGACGAACTCATGTGTTCCGACTACACTCCACAGACTGTGTCCAAATACCGTTTCACTTCCTCGCATATTTTGCCCCATCAATAAGTGCTCGAGGATCTGAGATTAACTCTGGTGTCCTTCATCTCTATCTGCAGCCTTGTTATTCGATCAATCAGTCTCACTTTGCTGCATTACTATTATTGTATTATTAAACATGTCTGGGAAATGTAATTGGCGATCAATTCATAGATTGGCAAGAGTTTTCCAGCCAAGTCAAGAGTACAATCATACATCTTTGGGCAGACGTGCTAAGATGACACTTCTTTAATTGTCACGTGTTGAGACACACAGAGAAGTCCTAAGACATGTTGGCTGTTCAGAGCTAGTTGCACATCTCTCTGGATTGCACATAAGCAGCTGTTGCTATACAGATGTGCTAGTTTCTTCCTCCAAAGGTTTCCTTTCTAGATACATTTCCAACATACTACAACCTGTTCTTTTTTTGCTTCCGCCCATAGAACAGTCTGACTCTACATATAAACTGTTTAAAAAAATCAATTTAGTGAACCATAAAATGCAAATATGCTTAGGGGGGGGGAAATAAATACTGTTCACAGAACAAACCATAGCATGGATTTGCTTCCTGTCTATTACATAAATCTGTTGTTTAACCAATGTTTTCAGTCGTTGATCACACTAGTTTACAATTGATGGCATTCCAAGACTAATAACTCACATATCACTGCATAATGTAGCAATCTTCAGTTTCTAAATCTGCAATTTATGTTTTAGGCTGCTTTAATTATCTCAGTTCCCAATTCTAACATTTACCTCTTTGGAGACCAAAAAGAAATAAGCTCACCACAGAAACAAAGAACTGTTGCTCAAGCTGAATACAAAATTACAGGATATTTTAGACCACTCTTAGGACTTTTGCCATGAAGAGGAGGTGTCTTGCACATTACATAACAGTTTTAAGGACTCTGATAGCTTTGCATTTCCCCAATTTCCCAAAATATACAACTTAGTGCTGCATTTCTGACAGGGCCGGCCCTATTGTTAGACAAAGTGAGGAGGCTGCCTCAAATGACTAATTTTTGATGTCATGGATGGGAAGCAAACTGTTAGTTGCTTTAAAATACTTGAATGCATTCTATCAGAGAAGAGGAGAAGTCTATGTGGGGTGGTTGGGATATTTTTTCGGGTGGGGGGTTTGCCTCCGATGCCAAAGTAACTTGTCTAGTCTTTGGAACTACGCCCATTGATTGGGAAGGGGCTGCCATTTGCTGCACTGCCTCAGGCAACGAAGTATCTTCAGCTGGCCCTGTTCTCCAGTATTTGTTTATTTGTCCTTTGGTGGCTTACTCCTTTCCATTTTAGAAAATACATCCAGCAATGTGTTCCCGAGCAGAGACGTATAGCAGCAGGACAGCCACCCATAGCTCACCTCCAGCGAAAGTTACTCCTCATGCTTGCAATGAGTGGGCTGTTGTGCGGTAACTCTAAGAATCTCCCCAATTCGGAGCGCACAGGTTAGCTTGAACGAGTGGTCCGGTTTATTCCGAAGCAAAGATAATAAAATTGCAGTCAAAAAACTAAAATGCAAATGCTTGCTCCAGGCAACGTAACAGGCAGCTGCACAATCAGAAAGCCAAGACCAAGCCTTGGCTTTCAGATCGTGGATTGTCTAGGGTGAAACAAAGCCACGGTTCAAACATGAGCCAAGCATTATGGTGTGCTGCTCCCACTCCCTGGTAGGGAGGCATGAAGTGGGTGAAATTGGCCCACTCCGATTAAGCCATTAACCATGGGTTACCATGGCGTGCGAACGAGGCCACGGGGTGTGGTATAAGATAAGGGGAAGGAGCTTTTGCTCCAGCATCTATCCACAAATCAGTTTTATGTACTTAATGACCAGCTACAAAGCCAGGAGGACTTTGCAAGCAATAATCTCCCCCCCCCTTCCTTTCTGCAGAACTGTTCGCTATCCGATATTGCCTATCACAATAAATTAAACACAATCAGATTAAAACGCCACTCAGCAGCCCACTTTAAATGCATTATTTTGCCAGCTAGCTTTATTCCACTATTGACCAAGAGCAATACCAGTTCAAGCAGGCCCTTTTGTTCTCTATTCTGTAGCATTAATCTTAGCGCGCGCACGGCTACACGGTAATATCTCAGCCACAGAGAACAAAGCGCATGTCAGCTAACAACCCGAAATTTGGCCATCCTCAGCACATCAGCGCGTTTTGTTACGCTTTTCCCTCTAACTGCGGCGTGGCGTTTTGTGCAAAGAGGGGACAGCCGTGTGGGTAAAAGAAGTTGTCCTGTCTGCTCTGTCATTAATCCGAGTACTTAAATCCCCAAATAAAAGAAAAATCAATGCGGCATGGCAATGTTTGCTAATGCAATGTAATAAACACACTTACCTTAGAGAGTATTCTCAATGGATTTCGCTTCTTTGCTGTGTTTCAAGGCTGCAAAAGGATAAGAGAGGAAAAGAGGAAGCATTGAGCCGCCTGCCAATTAAACGGGAACATTTGCTCTATAAATTAGTAGCCACGTTTTAACCTAAGTCCAAGCTGAAGGAGTTTTCGGGGAAACAGAGCTCAGTCTTTCTACTGGTGCTTTTGGGGGAAAAATAAAACCCAAAGCCTATAAGTGCTAAACAAGGGAACTTGAAACATTCACTGCCACTTTCCAACTCTTTCATCCCATCATCAGAGTGACAGACAATACTGAAGATGAGAGATAGGCAGGTGGAAGTTTGGAGAAAAGGCCCATGCCTATATAAATTTGTGTCAATATTCCACATACAGTGGTACCTCGGGTTAAGTACTTAATTCGTTCCGGAGGTCCGTTCTTAACCTGAAACTGTTCTTAACCTGAAGCACCACTTTAGCTAATGGGGCCTCCTCCTGCTGCCGCCACACGATTTCTGTTCTCATCCTGAAGCAAAGTTCTTAACCCGAGGTACTATTTCTGGGTTAGAAGAGTCTGTAACCTGAAGCGTATGTAACCTGAAGCGTATGTAACCCGAGGTACCACTGTATGTATAAGACATGCACAGCCGCTGCCCATGCAACAGCTTCACTGCCAGATGTTAACCACAGCATGCGTCACCATGGCCAGATCCAACTTTTCAAGGAACAGCCAAAGCTGGAGTGTTACCCCTGCCTCTCCTTCTTCCTATCTCAAGGCAGAGACAGGTTTCTTTTTTTTCCTATAAAGTACAGTGTATATTATAATCAAATCCTCTCTCACTCTTACCATTGCATCAAAATCAGCCATTTAGCTTTGTTTGCAAAATGAAGCCACTGTTCTAAGGTAACAAAAGTGGGAGCTGTAAAGTGTTTGGGTGATAGTACTCTGAGTAGACCCACTGAAATCAAAGGACTTTACTGATTTCACCGCTCCAAGTACTAGTGACAGGCACAAGGGAGAAACATTCTTAGCACTCTGCATAGTAGCCATGAATTACTTATGCATCTGAACATCTGAAGGCCAGAGGAGCAAGCAAACAATTACTTAATCGCATCTGCCTTTATTCAGATGCTGGACTATAAAACGGTTTGCATGCCTGAACCTGCTAGCTTCACAAGCCATGGTTTGTTTTTGAGTGGCTGACAAACCTGGATTTGGACCAGCTGTGGTTTGCTGTTACGTCAGAAGCCATGGTTATTTATTTATGCATTCATTTTCATTTAATAAGGGACGCGGGTGGCGCTGTGGGTAAAAGCCTCAGCGCCTAGGGCTTGCCGATCGAAAGGTCGCGGTTCGAATCCCCGCGGCGGGGTGCGCTCCCGTCGTTCGGTCCCAGCGCCTGCCAACCTAGCAGTTCGAAAGCACCCCCGGGTGCAAGTAGATAAATAGGGACCGCTTACAAGCGGGAAGGTAAACAGCGTTTCCGTGTGCGGCTCTGGCTCGCCAGAGCAGCTTCGTCACGCTGGCCACGTGACCCGGAAGTGTCTCCGGACAGCGCTGGCCCACGGCCTATAGAGTGAGATGGGCGCACAACCCTAGAGTCTGGCAAGACTAGCCCGTACGGGCAGGGGTACCTTTACCTTTACCTTTACCTTTCATTTAATACTTATATACTGCCTTTCTCTCAAAGTAATAAAACCAAACTAGTTAGAAACAATAGTTAAAATGCAATAAAACCCATATAGAACCAGCATTGAAATGCCTAATGCCATGATAGCAGTCCAATGGTCAACATCGTCTGCACCTGGTTTCCAAAAGCCTGCCTGAAGGGAAAGGTCTTAGTCAATCTAACCTCTCTTGGGAGAGAATTCTACAGTATGGGAGCAGACACAGAAAGGACCGTCTCTAGTGTCACCATCTGTCTTTGATGCTTAGGGAACAGAGAGAAGGTGCTCACCCTTCTTAGCGCCTGGGCAGGTTCGTAAAGGGAGACAGGATCTTTCAGGTAACCCAAGCCTGCTGGATCAGACCAGTGACCCATCTACCAGTGGCAGATCTCAAATTTCAGCGGTGCCCTGTACAACACTAAAATTTGTCCTCCCCCCCCCCAGTGAGGATGAACTGGTTGTGCTACCTTAAAACGCCCTTTGAATCTATTCCAGCATCCTGCCAACCAGACAGCCACAACCAGGACTTGAGGCTCAATGATGAACAGATAGAAAATAAAGAGAGACAACAAGGAACAAAGCATTGTTTGGTTGTTCTACATTTGAAAGCTCAAGTCAACAATGTGGGCCATGGGTAGGCAAACTAACGCCCGGGGACTGGATCTGGCCCAATCGCCTTCTAAATCCAGCCCGTGGACGGTCCAGGAATCAGCATGTTTTTACATGAGTAGAATGTGTGCTTTTATTTAAAATGCATCTCTGGGTTATTTGTGGGGCATAGGAATTCGTTCATTTCCCCCCCCCCCCGCAAAAAAAATATATAGTCCGGCCCCCCACAAGGTCTGAGGGACAGTAGACCGGCCCCTTGCTGAAAATGTTTGCTGACCCCTGATGTGGGCCCTTAACTATGGTTTGGGCAAATCCTGGTTTGGTCTCCTATCTAAACTGAGTCAGTGGCAGGAAGAAGGGAAGAACAAAAGGTGTGGGATAATATCTGTAGCATATTACATCTAGAGAAAAATGAGGGGAATAAGTGACTTGGTGGCTTTTTATGCCAGTTTCCAGTCAAAGGTTGTCTAAAGTGGAAAGAGGTAGCATCACCGACATGTGAAGTAAAGGAAATAATGTAGATTTCACCATTTTTCTAAAGCCAAGAGATAGTACGAAGAACACTGAAAATCCTCAAGCACAGCCTTAGGCCCATGACCTGCAGGAGCCTTAAGCACTCAAAATATGCGCCCTAAACTCTGTGCTAAACTCTGGAACTTCAATATACACGCAAAAGATTTAAACTCTGGAGTACTGTAGAGTTTGCACACCAGCAAGTTCTCATAACAAATAACTCTGCTACAGCCTTATTTGCGGGCTCCAGAGCAATACGGAATTAATGTGTGTTTTGAAGACAGCTGGTGGCAGTGCTGTATACAAGTTTAGTAGGGGTGGCATATTCAATTTGAGCCGTGTCTCATCTGGTTCCCGTTAAGATAAAAATTTGAATGCCTTTCACTGGAGCATCCTCTGATGTGCTGGCCGAGTCTCAAATCAAAATATCTATGAGCATTTACCTGCATTCTGTAGCGTATTCACTCTCCTTCACACAGACTTATTGTTCTATTTGATTATGGAAGCATGCACAAAGCCCTTCAGATTCGAAGATGAATGCAGCTAGATAAAAACAGATTTACTCTGAATATTAAGCAGCCAGAGCATCTCAGCCAAATCTGGGTTAAAGTAATTTAACTTCATTTTCTTCCCTTTTTTATAATATAATTTTTATTCAGAATAACGTGAAACAATGCAAACAACAAATAATGGGTTTGGGCCACCGGAAACAGTCATGCAAAACACAGTCATGACGTGTGTAAGGCAGAAAATAATAGAAGCATGTTAAGTTAAATTACTAAGTCAAAAAGACGTATGAGTTACAGGAGGTCTAGGTTCCTCCAGGCGACAGTTAATAAAAGAAAAAGAATAATAGAATTGTAGAATTGATAGGGTCCCTGAGGTGTCATCTAGTCCACCCCCCTGCAAGGTGAGAATCTCAACTAAATCATCTGTGAGAGATGGCCACCCAACCTCATCCAAATAAACATAAACCAATCAGTATCTTCTTTTGTTTCTCCACGAATCCCTCTACACTACAGCATTGTGCAAGTTTGCCAGTCAAAGCCAAAGCACCAGACCCGTTCATACTTGTGAGAGCACTTGCGGTTGTCTGAAACCAGCTTGGTCTCAGTTCCTCTCACCGAGTATCAAGCTGTAACTTCATTTTCAAAGACAACAAGTTCTTTCTGTTTTAATTTAGGGTATAACAACATTGCACTGAAAAATAAGCATGGTGGCTGCATACAAACAATACGTTTAAAGCACACACAGAGAGTACAGAACCCTGGGCACTGTGGTTTGTTAAGGGTGCTGGGAATTGTAGCTCTGTTACGGGTAAACTACAGTTTCCAGGATTCTTTCAGGGAGTGCCTAAAATGTATGGTGTGTATGCAGGCATTGTTGGTGCCGCAACCACAGCCCTATGTCGGATTTTTTTATTTCCACGCCATTCCACAGCATTTAAAGGGCTCGGCTTGGACTAGCTGCCATTCAGTACCTTCCCTCCCAGAACTCTCTAACAAAGCTTATTTTTCTCTTTCCTTATCACCCCCTTTTCCATTTGTATTGTCTGTTGCACTATCTGTATCACTATATTAAATGATGAACTGCCTGGAGTGCCTTGTGCGAGATCAGGGATGGGGAGCTTCCAGCAGCTCTTGTCACCTTTGACTTTTGGCCACGGTCGCTGGGGCTAATGGGGACTTGGGAGTCCAACTGCACCTTGGGAGCGCCAGGTTCCCCACCTCTGAGCTAGATAGAAGAAAAGATGCAAATCAACAGCAGGCTGAAAATTTGGGTGGCACCTATTGTGCAGTTCTCATGGGCAAGAAGCCTCCTTAGTGGTAAACAACGCAGGCATAAATCTCTGCAGAATCAGACCCCCCTAATTGAACTGATTGCACAAACTTAAGGGCCAATGAGGTAGGCAAATATTGATGTTGCCATATTTAATTTAGGAGGGAAATCAGAGTTAACCAGTTTATTGTTGTAAACAAAGGCATTTGGTTAAATGAAAGTTCCATCAAAGCTTAATAGCCAAATTCAAGTGAACATAAAGTAAAGGCTTATGTACTTTCTGTGGTTTCTATAACGGCTAATCTAATAACTCTAAATGGAGTGTTATTGTTTATTCCTTTGCCTCCATTCCATAAATTAGATAAAGCAATCTGACAGTTACAGTACTTGGGAGTTTTATTCTACTAAGTGATTTTAAAGGCTTCTCATACTCTAACAAAGTCATGACTTGAATGACTACTAGAGCCCCCCCCCTTTTCTTAAAA